AACAAAAACAATTTTTTTTTAAGATTTAATTTTGTTTAGATGAAATTCTCAGTGTGTGAAAAATGGAATATTTTTAATTTTTATTGATAAAGATATAGAAAGAGAAAAAAATTCTCAAAAATTAGCATAATTAAGAATTGAATGCTCTATATGTAAATGATAACAGATATATAGTTTGTTGTATAATATTCTCAAAATTTTATATTCGAATATTAAATATATGCATTATGATATTTTAAAAAAGAAAAAAGAAAGAGAGAAATAATAAAGTGATTAGAAAAATGCACGTAAAGGAAGATTGAAAATTTCTATTTATTTTTCATATTTGCCTTTTTTTCTACAAAGATGCTTTAAATACATGGGATTGTTAGATAAAAGAATATTTAGGCTCCGGTGCGCGTATGTCATCGAAGATTTTCGGGTCGGGTTCGTCATCGGGATCGAATTCTACGTCCATTGGATCGATTGTAGGTGGTGTTTTTGGAATTCTAGGTTTCGCAGATGGTGCTGGTCGCATCAGACAAGCTTCCAGATTTTCCCTCACGCATTTTTCCTCATCCGTCGCATCTATTACGGATACAGTTTCCCCCGCATATCGCATTATATCTTCTATATTCTCTTCGTACTCCCAAAGCTATATTTTCAGCAAATAACGATAAAGAAAATTTTAAATGTTTAAAACCTGAATTTATTAAAAATTAGTATAAAATTTTCCTCTTTTTAATACACACAATTCTTTAAAAATATATAAGATATACTTTTCCAACTTTCGTATTAATTCAAAATATTCGTATAAACTTTAAGTAAGAATGTTTTCAAAAGTTAATATGCATTACATCTTGTTCAACGACATCCTTGTAATCTTTGGGATAAGCATCTAATTTATAGTCTGGATCTACTCCTAAAGACTCGCATGATGCAAGATTATGTTCACTTCCAGTGGTGATATGGTTATATTGGCGATTTAAGAGTCTCTCTCTACATTTTTGTATATCCATTTTGAGAATGATTACTCTAGATATATTTTCGAAAATTATAATAATAATTATTACGAAATTTTTAGAATTGTTAATATTTAAGAAGAGGGAATATACCTATTGGGTGGCGTAGGTATCATATCCAAAAGTTTGAACTCCTCTATAGTTTTAGGGTAATCGGTTAAAATCCATCCTTTTTTAAGACATTCGGATCCAAGTACATATTGCTGGAAATAATAATAATAAATAATAAATGCAAAATTAATTCAATTTATTCTTATCAAACTATATTGTACCTCGACAATTTGTATTCTTGCTTCTGATTTTAATTTCTGTCCGCATCTGTGCTCGCATAATCGTAACATTTCACCTAAAGCCATTTCTTGCGAACATGCTCGCTCCAGAATATAATTAAAGTCAACTACAAAAATATATATATAATACACTATACATATACTTGAACTATTATTATTAAAATTAAATCCACACACACATTTAGTAGAATAATATTACTCTAAATTACTCTAATAAAATGTATAAATAATCTAGCATCTAGAGTAAATATTAGCTATATTAATATTAGCTATAATAATACCGTGAACGAGATTAAATCTCTCAGATATATGCTTTGCTAAAGAGCGATGACCTGATCCCCGAGGACCTATGAGAACGATGCGAAAGAGCGATGGTGCCCCATGATGTTTCTTAATCTTCGTTAATATTGCGCAATCTTTGCCTAGCTCTTGAATTGTCTTAACACCAGCTTCGATTTCCTAAAAAGAAAATTTTTTAACGATTTAATTGTCTTAACAATATTAATAGTATATAATTTTATAAAATATATATAAATTATTAATATTAAAAGATTTACGATGTTGCATTTAATCTAAAAGTGTTTCGATTTATATTTACAGATTGACTGTGCTTCAAAAATAAAAATGGATCTAAACGGACAAGAACAGAATAGCAGAGTCAATAATACTGATTATACAGTAAGTATATACTTTGAGTTTTATCCTCTACGTTTGATGGTACGATTTGTATTACATGTGTGGGTATTACACCGACACGTTGCATCGCACGTGCTTCCTCCTTGCTTCTTGGTATATCTGTAAGTGAATTACTTATTTACACAAAAGAAAAATAAAAGAGAGATTTAATTACACTTTTTTAATAGTGTATATAATATAATATTTTTAATTATATTATAATATTTTATATTATATTATATATTTT